CCTGTTCATCTAGCTCCACATACTCTGGCAACTCCAGGTGATTTTTCTGTTTTTTATAGTGAAGTCTGATCAGATGGTTTAGGTAATCCTTTCTACAAGACGTGGAACGTGGATTTTCAATAAGACCGCAGCTGGAGGAATGCCATACGATACTCTCTATATGACGAGGTTCACAAAATCTAGAAACCGCAGGAAGTATCCATAAGCTAGGCCTTGCCTTTAAGGTACTACAACTGGCTGATGGACTTAATTCCATGGACGATTGCCAACGATTTCATGGAACATATTGTTTCACGAAGAATGGACCATGATTTGTATGGACTTCGACCGAATCACAGGTGAATTCCCATAAGTTCAGTTGCATTAAATGGATTTTAATGACTTCACTGGTACGGGGTGGGTAAAATACGACTGACGGTAGCGATATATGCATGTAGGGCTCGCTATGCTCAGTAGCGCTACCCATCCTACCGTTCTCGCGAGTATGACCCCACCCACGTCTGGTCAGAGGTCTGACTTTTCATCCTCATTTACACTGGAGCCGCACTTAGGCGCTATCATCAAGAAGAACGCCTTTCCATCCCTAATGTGGTCCCTCCTGAGGGATTTCGAAAAAAGGCACCTTCTTTTCTCCAATCTAATGCAAGTTAGTCAATCAGTAATGAAAGATGTAAAAAGAAGTTGATTTCAAAAGGCAGATGCCCAACACCAAACAAATGTTGCGTCGAATGGCTTACTTCAACTTTAATTTTGAATACTTCGATTCAGGTCCGTCAACTCGATTACTATTTAGGTTCTTCCAGCAACATCCAGCAGTTAACGATACACTAGCAAATCTGATTTGTTCTGGATTCATCACAATAGCTGTGAGTTGTGCCCGTTGGTTCTCGTGAAACGCTTTGTTGTCATGCCTTTCTTTCTAGGGGGAAAAAGTTTCCTCTTAATAGATTGATTGAAAACTAATTAATAGCCGAAACGAGTTTGATGGACCGAACTCCTTGTTCGGTTCTGGAAAAACAGCGAAATGATGAAACCGGTTTAATAGACTTTTAGTGAGCAAAGTATAAGTGGACTTCGCCTGCCACGGTGGGATTCATTTGGTGGGATGCCCCAAAACGAAAAAGTTGTTATTATGTAGTAAAGCGGATGTGGTGTAGCCCGGCGAGTGGCACACTGCCACACCCATGGTCCAGATATCGAATTCTTAATCGGGAGTCGCTTCGGTCTTCCATCGGTCTGCGGTCGATTAGTTGGTGCCGGACATTCTGGGAGAACCGAATCGTATCGGCTAGCGAATGCAAGTCATTGTATAGGTCATATACGCTTTCGAACGCCGCTACGATCCTGAACAGGAGTCAAATACAGGGCGCATACCACAAACGAAATCGATTTATTTCCGAAGACTACCCTCTATGCTTTATGTCGACTTATTTATTCAGTCGAATAAACGCCATAATGCTGTTAACCCAACCCGGGGGACGAAAAGACCAGACGGGTTTCGGACCAGAATTCGATTCCTGAGACCTGCGTAAACTGCTATCTTCTTGGGATTTCTCTATTGCCTCCACAGGACACCACGAAACCATAAAACGCTCTGTTTAAGGACGATATCGATACCTTCACTGAAGATAAAGTAATCGTGAAGAATGGTAAAAGCTACGATTGCGACGTCCTCATTACCTGCACTGGATACACCTTTGGATTCCCTTACCTGGACAATAAAATCATAAATATTGAGGTGAGGGAACCTTGAATTATTTATGGGGTTCCACTGGAAAAATGATCACTTTAAGCATCATGAAGTGCCCTTATACAAATTCGTCTTTCCTCCTAACAATTCGAATCTGGCCGTAATTGGAATGATTCAACCGATTGGAAGTATTGTCCCCATTTCCGAAATTCAGGTATGTACCTACAAATTTGCATTTGCCTTGTCAAGAACATCACTGAAATTGAATTTCTGAAGACCAGTTTAGGCTCGTTGGGCAATGAAGGTATTTCTCAAGAAGCTCAAGCTTCCTTCAGAAAATGAAATGTGGGACGATATAGCTTTGAAGAGGGCAGCAATGAAGCGAAGATATTTCCAAAGCGAAAAACATACGATACAGGTGAATACATAGACCTAATCACTAGAAATAAATAAACAATGAATAAATAATGAATTATGAGTGAAAAATAAATATCCAAGCGCAAAATAAATGAATAACAGGTTGACACGATCAAATTCTCTCATAACTTTTTATTTTAGGTCGATTATATAAAATATATGGATGAAATTGCTACAATCCTTGGCTGCAAGCCAGATCTTCGAAAGGTACTGTATTTTTTTCTTATAGTACTGGAATATGTCATGGAAATTGGCTTGGTCGCGTTGCACGTGCTCGCAACCCTAGGGGGAGTGGCCAAACTTCGTTTCGGTGAAAGCGAGTAAAAACTTTTTCACTATTGACAGTCGCTTATGGCG